ATGTACAGCTATTAAAAAATATTCATAATTTGATTTTTCACAATTTTTAATATCACATGTTAATATTATATATATATATATGCAGCAAATTTTTTTCAATTTAAATCTGCGATAAAAATTTTATATCTAAATAAAGTTTATTTCAAATTGATCAAGCAACTTCTAAAAGATATCAAATATACACCCACAAAATAAAATAATTTTATATTAATATTTTTGGTCGTACATAATTAATATTAATAAATGTGCAGATTATTGTTATAAAAATTAAACAATTAATTAGACATAATACTTGCAAAAGAATCGAATATAATAACAAGGCTTCGGTAAATCTTTTCTCGGGATTTTTGCAGGAAAGCGAACGGCCGCCCAGACAACTGGAAAAACTAGTATTTTATGAGCGATTTGAGAGACCCTTTCGTTTTCTTTGCGTGTCTCATTCCCAATTCACTCACTCTCGGTTGCAGTGTCGCTTACTCTCGTGCAGCGTGGAAATGATTATTGTTTTCTTTCTCAGAATATACCAACAGTCGGATAAATCTCGGGGTTGCGGATAAGTGCAGCTTTACAGTTTGTTTCGCAAGATGAGATTTACATTGGCGGTATATAAGCGCTCTTCGAAATTTTATCGCGAGCTATAAGTTATTTTTAAGAGCTATATAAGCGCCACTTTCCCGGTATACATCATGGACAAAGCCCGGGGTGTCATTACGGTACTTTCCTACTTGACTTGAAATTCAATTTACTATCACTTGTATCTAACTGTGCAAAATATTTCTCGATGAGTGGAAGAGGATCGAATGAATCGGACTTTAAAATAATGTCGATCTACAGATCTATTATTAAATACTTGAAATACTTAAAATTAAAAAAGTTGATAGAAAGAAAGTATAGAATTAAATTTTTGTAAAAGAAAAATTAACTTGAAATTAGAATAAAAAATAGTAGTTGGAAAAAATACTCAGATTCTTTATGTGAAATTGAAAAATTTTTTAAAATAATAAATTTTAATAATCTTTTATAAAAAATTAGATATTTATGAAAAAAAACAATTGTGAAAGACTTACCATCTTGTATCGTAGCGAGCAGAATTCCCAAGCAGAGAATCAGCGACGCTGCTCGCACCTCCTGCAACGGGAAAAATGGTGGTCTCATTAATAATTCATCATCGTTGGAGACGTATAATGCGATATGCCAAAGTGAGAGTCTCGCAAAAATTAATTCATGGCGAGTTCGTCCCTATTTTGGTAGCGTTCGATTTCTCGCGCATTGCTAACGGATCGGTAGTGATGATTTTATCAATATCTATCGACAAAATTCAATAAATGCTAGAAATTTTCACTCTTGTATTATATTTATGCGTAAAAAATATTTTAAAGACTATTAAAAAAATATAAAAAAGCGTCCTAAAACAACAAAAACAAATGTAAAATTTTTAATAAAAATACAATAATAATATTTATATTTATAAGCGAATCAAGAAATAATAAAAGCTTTCATTCGTATTGCGATAAATTTTAAATTAGAAATTATACGTATATTAAAATATTAAAATTTATTGTAACGTATATAATAAACTTACATTTATTTATATTTATATCTTTTTACGTTAAAAATATATTTTAAGTTAAAGTAACGTATATATCCCTGGGAATTAAGATTCCTAGTTCATTCACAGTGCACTCACAGCTCCGTGAGATATATGAATTAAAATCAGGAATTGTATAAAGTATCCGTCTGTCTCGGTGTTACGCGTACACCGAATGCCGGTTCCGTCTGTAACCGCTTATGTAACGCAGAAATGTAAAGTGCACGACGATGCACTTGTTCTCAGCTCGGGCTCGGTCAGTGCGATCGGTGCGGGCGGTGGCTCTCGATGCGAGATTAATAAAGATCGATGACACGTATCGAAAAGTAATGATAGCGGCGACGACACATACGAAATAACACGGACGACCGCTCCTCGTTACGTAATGGGTGTGCAAAGAGAAAGCAAGAAGAAAGAACGCGGCGCGACTTTCTCGTGGCGCGTTTCGGGCGGCGAGTTTCGCGTTACGTTAACGTTATACGTTACGTTAACGTGTAACGGCGTGCTACTCGCCACCGTGATAATAATTAACGCGCCTCCGCGGACTCTGGGCATTTAATGAGGCAAACAGAAATTTCGGACCGGTCTATCGCGGAAGATAGCCGCGGGCGCGATGACTTGGTTCATTCCCTCTGATTACGGTGAAACTTACACCTGAGGCGTTATAGGCGGATAGTAGATGATCCAGTGATATACCATCGGATCGTTATTTTGGCCAAAGGAACGAAGAATTAAGAGCAATTAGAAAAATTAAGAGCAAGCTCGTACTTTTACGAGGCATCGAATTCTAAATCCGCAAAACTTTTACGAGCAAAATCTTTGGAATATAAACGACGATAAAATCTCGTTAATTTTAATGTATATGTATATATATTTGCTATTTTTGCCATTTTATGCAATATTTTTGTTAATTAAATATCCTGATATTATCTATTGCGTTAAAAATGCAATTAAAGTTAACGAGATTTTATCATCTATTTAGATTCTCGGGATTTTGCTCATAAAAGTTTTACGGATTAGCTAATATATATACGAAAAATTTATAGTTTCTGAAGAGGAAAAAATCTAATTCGCAATATACGTAAATTAAATGAAGCTTTTACCATGTATCCTTTCATATCTTTATACACATAGTGCTTACTGCAATATACGAAGAACAGCCAGCTTCTGGTCTTCAATTAAAATAATTGCGGTATAGCGCAATTTCTATCTTCATCCGTTCTAAAGCGTGCGGCCTTACACGTTATGTCCCACATTACATGTCCGCGGTTTACGGGGACCTGATAATCATCTCATTCGTATATCATCTCATTCGTCGTTACAATCCGTCTCCGCTCGCACGTGTACATTCTCGCGAAGTAATAACTCGCGCTCGATGGCACGCGGCTAGTATGCACGCGGGGAGGAGGGGAGGGGGGGTCAAAAAACTCCGGACCCCTCTAAATGTCAAATAACTTTCTACAATGCCGGGATCCTTGGAAAGCGAATATACAACCGATTCAAGGGAGAGCCCC